AAAAATGGGCCCATTTTTTTTTTTAAAAAAAGGCATGGATAGCCTTTAGGAATCTTATAGAGTGCTCCTGGGGGCTGGGCGGGGGGCAAAATTGAGCAAAAGATGGCCCTTTTTTGCTCATTTCTGCCCTCCCCAGCCCCCAGGAGCACTCTGAAAGCCTAAAGGCTATGCATGGCCATTTTGGTGAAGGGGCAGAGTTTCGGGAGGCAAAAAATGCTGTATTCAGTGTATAACACGCACTCAGATTTTCAGCCTCTTTTTTGAGGGAAAAGGGTGCGTCTTATACTCTGAAAAATATGGTAATTCTTAAAGAAAATACTGTTACAATGATGTGAAATTTCATTGATAAGGCAAGTTTAGCACATCTGTAATATATCTTGAGAAAGGAGAAATATTTTACTGTACATACTTATTAATTTATATCTGGCATGTTTTTTGAGACCTAAGTATGTATTGTGAGCTACTTTTGAGGATTTCACAATAGCTAGAAGCTGTTTCATTTGGTATACTTTCCTAGCCTATTTTGCTCTACTGATAATATAAAATTTGGGGCTAAACCTAGGTTTTATTGTATTAAATAATAATGAGGCTACATAATATGCTATGTTGCCAAGTTACTGCAACATAGATTTATGGCCACTGAAATCAATGACCATAAATGTGCCTAAATCTGCACTGGATTGTTGTGGTTGTTATGGTATTTTTTTTTAAAATGAGGCTTTAGTAGGACTATTGTTTGCTATTCTGGAACAGAACCATATATTTCTTTATTTGATTCACTCCCTGAGGAATCGTCAGAATAATTTTTCAACATTTTCACACTGCAATTTCCATACTTTAGAATATATAGAGGTGTTGCCCATTGCTTTCCATTATATACATTGAATATGTACATTGAAATGTTCTGACTTTATTAAAGGATATGACTAAATATGGAGCCAACTCATTTTAGAAATGTTTTTTTAAAATCTATTATTCAATTTCTTAATTTTCCTTTTTTGTTTTGATTTTTTTCTTAAAGAGATTTCAGTTTGTTACTACCACTAATTTATTTCTGTCTCTTCTGTTGCCTTCTTTTAGCAGTGTTTTATTCAGTGTAAAAGATTTCTTGGTATTGTATGTTGTAAGGAAAATAGGAATCTGATAAATCATAATATGATTTTTATTATGTTTAAATGATTACACTGGGAGAAATGAAGTATATGTTCTGAGGTCTATGGTTATTTATCTAAATTATTTATCAATGGATCTGTAAAAAGTGGTGCAATATAAAAGAAAAATTGGAAAAGATCCAAAAATTGAGGTAGTAAATGAAAATTAATTATTCTTCAATTTTAATAAAAT